TATTAGAACTTAACCTTTGTTTATTAGTTTACGTTTTTTCCCACTACCTACCCCCCCCCCCCCCCGTTTTTTTTTTTTTCTTAATCACAGTAATTATGGTGATCCATTATGATCATCTATTACGAAAGTTGAAAAAGTTACTTTTTCATCCTTTTGTCTCATTTTCTTTATTTATTAGTTTTGGCACGGCACCATCGGCGAAGCCAAAGAGGCATTCTTGGCACGCCAACTGAAGGGTGAAATTACTTTCTTGATTGAAGGAAAATCAATCAGTATAGATGAGGGTCCATCAGATTCCCAGCTCGAGAATGAGTTGAGAGAGCTGATTTCAGAGGGACATTCTCTTTCAATGGTAGTAATCTTTTTCAAAAATGCAGATTTTATTTGAATTTTATTTTGATAGGTAAATATTTTATTTGTTCAGATCTTACTCTACGCAGGAAGTAGAAATTTTCCCGTTGTGTTTACATGGTTTAATACAAGTTGTTCACTGAGAATTAAGGAGTTAATAACATAGTAATAATGTTGATCAACTTTCTTAAATTTATCTGGCCAATCTTACAACAACAACATACCCAGTGAAATTCTACAAGTGAGGTCTGGGGAGGGTAATGTGTACGCAAACCTTACCCCTACCTTAGGAAGATCGAGAGGCTGCTTATAGACCCTCGGCTCATGAATAGTGAAAAAGAAGCATTACACAGACATTAGCAACAACAACGTAGTAGGACAGCGGACACAAATGACCCAGTGTACATTAACAATGATCTAGGAATGCGAAAGTACAAGAATAGTACCAATACTACCGATAAGAATGATACACCGTGTAATAACAAGGAAGAGCCAGGACTAGGAAATACAAGACTAGTACTAAACTACTAATACTACTAGCAGGACTAAAAGAAACTCTCGATTACCTGTCAACCCACAACCATAATTCTCGACCTCCACACCTTCCTATCGAGGGCCATGTCCTCGGTAAGCTAAAGTAGTGTCGTGTCCTGCCTAATCGCCTCTCCCTAGGATTATAGTAAATCATGGTTCCAATCTATATATATATAAAGGTGGGAATAAAAAAGGTGACTTGGCACTTCTCTTTGGCCAATGATTCAATTTATCTTTTTTCTCCTTTTTTTGACTTTTCCCTTTCATTCTTTTCAATTTTTATTAATTATTAAAATTGTTTAGTAATTGGAAATTGATCATTCTCTATCCTATTTATTACGTCTCATTATAGTATTTATTTCAGTTACAAAAGACACAATTAACGTCCAAATTTTTCAGTTTATTTGTTTTCTCACTATCATTGTTACTCATTACTTTGTATTTGGTGTAATGAGTTAAAATTTATTGAGTAGACACCATGGATATTACTGAAAAGACGTTTTCACTTTTCAGCATGGAAATAATTTTTCTGGAGATGTTAATGGAATTCAAATTCTCGTGTGTTTGCTTTAGTAACACTTTAGAAATAACTTTTCTGGAGATATTTGGTAGACTTTTTTTTGTTCTGTAAGCATGGCTTTTCTTCCTACCTTACCTTATTTCTATTTTTTTTTACTCTAAATGAAATTTCAGTACCCTATGATTTTGTATTGAATTAAATCTATTGAGAGGCGCCTTGGATATTACTGAAAAGATGTTTTCAGCATGGAAATAACTTTTCTGGAGATGTTAATGGAATTCTCGTGGGTAACCTAATATTGGTAGACTTATTTTTTGTTTTCTAAGCATGATCTTTATTCTACTTTGCCGTGTTTCTGTTTTCTTTACTAAACGAAATTTCAGCAACCTATGGTCTTGATTAATAAGTAATTCTCCACCTACCATCCATTCTTTTTGTGTTCACTTTAGTTACATTTTACCATCAAAATTTGGTGGTTACTTCCATGAAAGAACCATTTCTGCAAATTCACTTGCTTAAGGATTCAGAAGCTGCGTCACATCAATTTGTTGCAATCCTATTTTTGACTCATTTTCATAGTTCACTGATTTAACTAAAACACCTTTCAAGTATATCTGTAAACGGTAATGCTGTTACAGATATGGCAAAACTGTCTCTCAAACTCCAACCTCATACTTCTGTTTATACTTGTAATTTTTTGCTTCATGATCACGGACCATCCTAATTGTGTGCCGTTTTCTCTCAATTTGCTGATGACAAAAATCTGTAGTCAAAATCAGTGGATTTTGCTGCTCAGTCACGCATGACAGTGCAAAATTGTTTTATATTGCCTTTTTGCGGGGCTCTTCCCTTTAGCAGAAAGGGGAAAACTAAATATCATTAAGTGGATATAACTGAATTATATAAATATATACTTGACAATGATACCGGAATTCACTATTTAGCAGCAAATTGACATTTACTACAAACAGTTTGGTTTTTTCATTGCAACACTTATCTATGTATGATTTGAAGCTTGAACTTCACAACCTATAAGATATCATTTGATCACAGGCCGTCAAGTTGGTAGCAAGTGGAAAGTCGGTGAAACGAAAAGCAATATATTCTCTTGCATTGAGGAAATTTGGAGGGCAACTAGAATCAGAGGATGAATAACCTAACTCTATCCGGTGAGTGTCTCTTAACTTCTCCCAACCACTACCTCACCTTCCTCCCAAAATTAAGAAAACAGAAAGATTACTCTGTTGCTTTCATTGTAATTTAAGTAACAACTTATATTATGGTTGCTTTGATATTGACCAGTTTGATATCTTCTCCAACTGCTTTGATTAGGAAAGGAGTTTTATGCTATTTTCCCCGTTCGTATGATACGAGAGTGTGAACTAAGGCAAAGAGAGTGCAGCACACTATCTATCGATGACTGTTTGACTGAATTCTTGTTAGAGAGAAAGGTTATTATTTTATACCAATGTGGATACCATGGAGTTAAAACCTTTGTTGGAGGACAAGGACAGCAAATTTGGTAGAGAGCAACATGATTTTGATAGTAGCAAATTGTTTGTTAAGCAGTCTATAGTTTTAGTCATAGATATCACATCTGATTATCATTTTCTTTTTATTGTTACTCTATTGTACTTGGAGCTGCAATTTGGTGTCTGATGACATTTTCGATTAGTTTTTTTTTTTTTTTTTTTTTTTT